AGGCCAAGCAGGCCCGGCCCCTGCCGAACGGAGTTGCCGGCGCAGCGAAGCGAAGCTGGCAACTTCGTTTGGCGGAAGGGCGGGCCTGCTTGTTTGAACAAATCTTTACTTTATCCTCTCTTAACACTATTAGCAAGCAAACAGCCAGGTAGACTAGTAAGGTTAATTAAGTTCTAAAGACTAGTGTTCAAGAGGGACAATATTAGGAAGAGATAATTAAAATGACTGACTATAACATGAAAAAATAATACTGAAAATTAGTGGCACAGTCACACTACTTGCGGTCATACATGTCTTTGTTGTGTCTCTTTAGTTGATCCTTTGTCACCTGGAAAGATGTACAATCAATGCCCTTTGATCGAAATGATATGTGCGAGACACAAACCGCGTTTAAGCTCTCAGCACCTAATCTGTTTCTTTTCTTACTACGGATGTCAGTAACAACAGAAAAAACTCGCTCGGAGTCGGCATTTGACTAGGGTACCATTTTTACCAATGATGCAACCTTGCATAGTTAAGGGAACATACGGTCATTGTTACCATTTTTCAGTGACCCTATCTCCACCCACGCATCCTCAACTGACATCCCGAGGAGTTTATCTCTCAGTCGCCCGCCGACCTCGTTGGGGAAGTTGCACCACTCTGTAACTATCCAGCTGCAACTTTTCCTGCGAAAAAATACATCTCTATTAAGGAGATTGAATCATATTGGAAAACTGTTTCCGTTCTACCAACGGGGGTACTTTGTGAGAGTAGAACTCACGGGACGAAAATTTCGTCCGTTTTCCTCTATCTTGAACCGCTTGGGTGCTGGAGTGCATTTCTTGGCGAAAACAACGTGAAAAAGACAAAATGGTCTATTAAATCGTAAAAAAGGCTTCAAGTCAAAGAATTGTTGAGGGAGTACTACTTAAACCACACATTAGGGGTCGAACCACACACTCTTATAGGCTCAAGGGTTCCTAAATTATCTAGTATCGTTAAAACGTTGATTTTTACATAATCTGTCATAATTCGAAGCTTTAACGAAAACCTACATTGAACAGCAGAAGTTTCATTTCCTTAATTGTAGAGTAATAAGTCCCAGACAAATGCTGTGAGTATGTCAAATTTTAAGCCCGGAAGGCCCTGTTCACCTATACCCTCTCCTTAACTCACCTCGGGTCTCGGGTGTCAGCGCCGCAGGCCTAGCTATATGTGCGCCAGGCGCGTCGCAGCGTAACAGTGTTTCGTGAGATATCGCGAATCATATTACGCGAGATGTGCTCTTGCGTACACATTGCTAGTGATAAAGTCAATGAATGGGGGGCAAACACAGACTTTGAAAACTACATTGAGAAAATGAAAGGTGCCAAATCACAAGAGGGGCATGATGATAATAATGAACTAGATGTCGAGGTCGAGGTCATTCAGCGCCAACAAGACATAGTAGACATTGTGAAACAACAGATTACCAGGATTAAAACAGGCGAAAACTACTGTTCTGTTGGTTATGAACAAATTAAAAGGATCATCATTCAAGGGAAAGCAGGTACATATGAAATTTCAGTTGTTAATGTTATGTAGACTGACAACACTCTTTTATGCTCTTTTCATACTAATATTTAACTATGTTGTCGGGAACAGAGAAAAGTCTCTTCATGAAGCACCTGAGAAATCTTCTTAAAGATGAACTAGGAGAACAGTCGTATCTTCTCGGCACTCCCACGAGTTTGTCTGCAGTGTTAATTCAATGGTAAAACACTGCATTCCATCTTCAAACTGCCAAGACAAACTATTAAATTTTCATCATTAAAGGGCGAGCAAGCAGGACGCATGGCCAATATTATGGCAGATGTTAAATATCTTATTGGCTGAGCGATTAGCGAAGCCTATTACTCCAGTGATCAAAAAGTTTCGCGTCTGTCTGTCTGTCTGTCATCACGATAACTCGAGAACAAATTGAGCTAGCGACCTGGGATTTTCAGGGTCGTTTTGTGTCATAAAAAGACGGATCAAGTACGAACGAGGGGGCAATAACTACCTTTAAATGTGTACACATGATTCCCGAAAACCTTGATTCCCAGTGATTCCCGTCCTCTTATGTTCATTCCTTAGGTTTTCTAGTAGTAGGAAACGCTTATTTCGCCTAATTTTTACGTTATTTTGACTAATTTGTACGAATTCCACTAGTTTCGAGCTTATTTTAAGCGATTTCTGATGATTTTGACTGATTTTTATCCAGTGATTCCCAGGCAGGTGTACACATGATTCCCGGAGTT